ACACCGCCCGAGGGATGGCGGCGGGGCGGGGCGTCGTCGCCCAGGTGGTCCGGCCCCGGGTTCCCCTCAGGGCAGGAATTCGGACACCTGTCCTCACCCGTGAGGAGCTCGCGGGCGGGGAGGCTGGGCTTGGCGCCCACGTAAACTGCTGTCTCTGAGGGCAGCGGAAAGAACCGAGAGCTTCGACCTCCGAACTCTGAAAAGCGGGGAAACGCTCCACCGCGCGCGAGGCACGAGGAAGAGCCACGTGCCTCTACCGTTAATGGCTAAATAACGGTCGTTTGCGCGCGCGTCAGAACTGAGTCTCGCGAGATTTGCTTCGCCCCACCCCCATCGAAGCTTTCAGGATTCTGTGCCTCCAAGTTGTGGTTCTTCAGCGTCTTGTCCAAAAGGGGGAAAGAAAAAAAAAGGCTCTCTGGTTCTGATTTCAGGCGTGGGTAACTAGACAGATCATTATCCTGGTGTTAACTACATAGGTTTGAGCAATGAAGTAATAAATTCCGTTTAGATGGATTAACTTGGTTTTCTCTCACTTTTCTAAAGGACGTTAACAGTATTTTTAAAATAACTCATTTTGTTTTGTATAAATTATCACATGCAATAGTTTCTGCTAAAGACATTTCTAAGCTGAAATTAATGATTCGGTGTAACTCCTTCATTTACATTTTAAGAAAACTGACTCTACCAATACAAAAAATGTGCAAGTGAAATGAGTAGACATTTCACAGAAGAAGTACAAATGGGCAATAAATACATGAAGAAATGTTCAGTGTTAACCATTACAGAAATGGAAATTTAAAACAACTCTAGATTCCATGTTACTCCAAAAAGAATGGCTATCATCAAGAAATCGAACAATAGTAGGGCGTGGTGGTGCACGCCTGTAACCCCAGCACTTGGGAGGCTGAGGCAGGAGGATCGCTGTGAGTTCGAGATCAACCTGGGCTACACAGTGAGTTCCAGGGCAGTCTGAACTACATAGTGAGACCCTGTCTCAACCCCCCCCCAAAAAAAATCAAATAATAATAAATGTTGGTGAGGCTGCAGGAAAAGGAACCCTTCTACATTGTTGGTGTGATGTAAATTAGCACAACCACTATGGAAATTGGTATGGAGATTCCTCAAAAAGCTAAAACTATAAATTACATTTGATGCAGCTATTCCCCTTCTTGGTATCTTTCCAGAAGAGTTAAATACATCATATTACTGTGATATATACATACCTGTGTTCATAGCAGCATAATTTGTAATAGCCAGATCTTGTAGGAAGCCTATATGTTCAACAGATGAATGGATAAAGAAAATGTGGTATTTAATACACTCTGGAGTACTACTCTGCCATAAAGAAAGATATGCTGTATTTGACTCATTTGTAGGAAAGTGAATGCACTTTGAGACCATAATGTTAAGTGAAATAAATAAGGCACACATTTAAATATCCTATGCTGTCTCTTATATGAGAAACCCAAAGGACAAATAAAGAGCAAAATAAAAGGCAATAGAAAGTAGGGAGACAGATTTCTCAAAGGTGAAAGGCATCAAGAGTTAGAGGGAAGGGGAGGGAGGAAGATGAAAAATGGAATTAAAGGGAGTTATGCACACGTACCAACTCCAAACAAGGAATGTAAATATTATGTCTTGCAAGTAGGTACGAACAAAAGGAAGGCGATCAACCGTGGGATGGAGGGGCAGGAGGGATGGGAAAGGAGACGAAGACAGGAATTAAGGTATACTATGTACATGTACCAATTTCCCCCAAGAAATACAAACGTGATGTGCTACAGGCATGAACCAATTAAAAAGATAAATAAAAGAATTTCTGAGAAAAAAATGGGTCCAGGTGTTCCAAAAGAGAAAAGACACTCCTGAAAAATGATACCAAGAATGTGCACAGGCACCATGAGGGGAAATAACTGATACATCTAATTAAGATGTTTTAAGTCAAGGGTACAAATTTAATATGACAGTTTTGGCCAGGCATGGTGGCACACATCCAGCACTTAGGAGGCTGAGGCAGGAGAATCACAAGCTTGAGGGCAGCCCGGGGTTCATAGTGAGTTCAAGGCCCATCTGAACTATGTATCAAGACCCTGTCTCTAAATAAATAAATAAAGACTAATTCTCAACTTTTTAAAGTAGGACAGTTTTGAAAAAGGTTGCACAATAGTAAAAAAAAAAAGAAAAATCAACTGTGCTCTTTTTTTGAACACTCTGCTCTTTATTGAACACCAAAATTCTACTCCTAATATTTTTGGAGTTTAAAAAAATTTATTACTGCTGTTTCTTTTTCTCATTTCATAGAAGAGGTATGAAGTAACATGCAGATGTGAGACCAGAAGGGGAGGCATTCACTGTATTTTCTCTTTTCCTTGAAGACAATCATGTGACCACCTGCCAAAAGGATGGGTGTGCCCCACTGAAGGTCTTACAGTCATCCATGTTAAGATTCTTCCATTACCCATGGTATGTGAGGATGATTTGTCATGTTATTTTCATCCTCACTGCCCTTAAGTGAAGAAAGGAGAGTGTTATGGCTGTGTCTAGATGTCCCCGCAAAGCCTCATGAAGTCATAGATGGGGCTTTCTGGAGGTGGCTGGATCTAGACTGTGTGCTGCTGGGATCAAGGATGGGATGCTGGGACTGATTCCTGTTGCGATGTTAGGATTAAGGTTGCTCCGCCCAGGGTGAGTGTTACCCACCCTAAAGATGGGTAGCCTGATAAGGTACAAGGGGCAGAGAAAGGGTCCAGCTTGTGTCTTGTAGCTCCCTGCTTTTGCTGCCTTCTGGCTGCTGTGAACTGGGTTTTTGGGGGTTGTTTTTTCCTCCTCTGTGATCACATGCCCCTCTCCCATGCCACCTGGCCTTGGATTGTAGACTGAAACCTGTACAAATTGTGAGCTAAATGAATCTAAGAAATCTACAAACTGTGATGTAAATGAACCTTTCCTCCTTTAACTTTGGGTGGCTCAGCAATGAGAAAAGTAACCAAGACAGAGAACCAAATAGAGTGCAGAGTCATTCCTCAGTTTGCCTCCAAGCTGCCTCACACAAGATCATCAGAAAAAGTTGGAGGAGTTATCCTAGAAAGAGTGGAACCTCAGGTCAGCCCACCACATAAGTAACTCATCACTGAAAAAAATTCCAAGACTCCTCAGAGAGACCCTAGAAAGATTTTATTGGGCAGAATTCAAGGAGAATACAGTGTGGGGCCTCAATATTATTCTAATATTATGACAACTTAAATTCAAAATATTTCATTTACTTGAATATCCAGTCATTCAAAATAAATTGCCAAAATAGACTTTCTCACTTTTATGTAGTATCTCATATGAAGTTTATTTTAACATATTATCATCCAGTTCCTATAAGGACTAAAATATTTGTGGCAATTTCAGGTTTTAAGAACTTCATTGTTCTCACAGAAGGTGTTGAAAAGATGTCAAAACATTTTCTATATGAATGAGAAGGAAATCATGCTAATTTCCCAATATATGTTAAAATAATTCTTAAACTTGTTATTTTAATTTTTCAATACCTAGCATCACAAATTGTTCAGTGTGGGTTTATAAAAGATCTCTTCTTTTAAGACACTAAGATAAGGTAAGAGTTTAACAAAACTTTGCCCTCCTTTAATAATTCATAAAATGTTCTGGTAAGAATAGGTTTTAAAATATTAGTTCCTTATACTGTGAGTCTGGCCCTAATTAATGAGGTCCACAAACTGCTTAATCCTAATGACAACTGCTTCCACTTGGTAGCTTTTTTTTTTATGTCTATAAATTACTAACCTAAATGAAATAAGTGGAGTTCCTTCAGGTAGCAGCTATTATGGTTCCCTTTGAAGGAACTATGCAAAATCAGTAGCCATTGCTGTCTCTGAGTCCAATCTTGAAAAGAATCTCGGACGTCCATTTAGTGATAGTCCTATGTTCCACAAAAATTTGATGAGCCCAGATGTGGTCCAAGTTAGGGTGGTCTGCTGGCAGCACACCAGTCTTGTTCATATTCTTCAAAGCAGTCATCTAATTTAGATTTAGAAAATTTAGTATGAACCACAGCATTCTAAGCTTTTAGTGATGTGAATGCAAATTCCACTTCCCAGAGAATAAAGCAGTCAGTCTGGGGTCCTCTGTTTTCCATGTGCTAAGTATCTCTGAGTGGTTGTGACTCAGAGTTCTCAGTTCAGTTAGCATCCCTATGAGACGAGCAAAATGTTGAGGATCTTCTGCATGATAAATCTTTGAATACTTATACAAAATGTGTAAAATGGGTTCTTGTAAATTCTCCACATGTTGTTTATTTCTAATGCATGGACGATCTGAAAAATATCATTGGATTTATCTTAACGTATATTGGAAAGTGGTAGATTATGGTGAATTCATTTAAAACAATGCAGATTTTAAATAACAAACATTTACCAAAACATTAATATATGTCAGATATTATGCTAAGTAACTTGCCTCTGTTGCAATATTTTATTTACTCGTTTGTTTGTTTGTTTCCTTGTTTGAGACAGGGTCTCACTGTATAGTTGAGACTGACCTGGAACTCACTATGTAGCCCAGGCTGGTCTCAAACTCACAGCGATCCTCCTGCCTCAGCCTCCTGAGTGCTGGGATTACAGGTGTGTGCCACCGCACCCGGCTATTTTATTGACTCTTCATGATACTTTATGAAAGAAGTTCTGTTTTTAACCACCATTCTTCACATGAGCTTCTTGAAGCTTACAGAATTGATTTTTATAAAGTCACATAGGAAGGAAAGGTCAGAAAGTACTTTTAAGAAGATAAGAGCATGGGCCAAAGATTTAGCTCAGTGGTACTGTGCCTGCCTTGCAAGCACAAGGTCCTGAGTTGGATCCCCACTACCACAAAAAAGAAAAGAAAAGAAAAGAATGTAAGAGCAAGAAGAGGCTTCATTGAAACTTTAAAAGATTAAGTAACTTCTCCAAGGTCAACAGTAAGTAAAGACCAAGCTTCTAAAGTCCTTAGCTGTAAAATATGTGTCAAGCAAGAACTTCTGTGTGGTTAAAAAGCTTTCATTCCACCAGTATGGAATATGGCAGTAAACATAACAGCCTGAACCACTGCCCTCATTAAGCTTATATTCCGGGTCTGGAAAAAGTGGAGAAAGAAAGAAACATACATACATTTTTTAAAGTAAAAATGTAATATGACAGACAGTGATGTCGCAAAAAAGAAGCAGAGAAATGGATAAGAATTTAGGGTGGAGGGATAGTAGCTACTTTAAAAAGCCAATCGGAGATAGAATGACATAGCAAAAGACCAAAATAAAGAAGGGTGGAAGCAAGTGCCTATCTGGAGGAAAAGCTTTATGAGCAAAAGAATTTTCAAGAATGGCCAAACCTGCAGCAAGAATCCACTTGAAATTTTCAGTGTGTCTATGTCCAAAACAGTGTGCCTGGGGTGGAGTAAGAATAAGGGATGGTGTAATTAACATAGCAAGATGGAGCTTTAAAAATCAGATTTTTTTCTTTGTGCACAAACAGCTTGTCCAGACTCCCTCAGGTCTACAGCATGAACCAGCAACCCCTCCGCAGCTCCGATGAACGGACAGAATATGTAGGTGCTGGCCTAGGAAGTCAGGGTCTGGGTGAGAAAAACGGCTTCTCTAAGCTTCCTCGTGCCTTACACATAGCCACTGCCCTATCCTCTCCTCAGCCCAGATAAAAGGGACAAACTACACAGATACCAGCCCCAGGAGGCTGGGGCCCAGTCTCCTTTCCAGTGAGGGAGAAAGCTAAAACTGATGGGAGTGAGAAGGAAGCCTGCCGATCTATTGTCCCATGGTATTCCACTCCTCTCTGTGTCTCATAAAAGGGCCATGTTGGAGTGTTCCCTTAACTGCTATGTAGTGACCTTTTTCATTCCTTCTAATGGATTTTAGCTGGATGTTTACCATGTCCGCGATTAAAATTGCTACCCCTGCTTGTTTTGGGGGTCCTGATGCATGAATATTATTTTCCATCCTTTAGTCTTTAGTCTATGAATATCTTTTTTGATCAGACGAGTTTCCTGATGCAACAGTGTTGGATTGTTTTTTGACCACTCTGTGTCTTTAAATTGGAGAGTTGAAGCCATTAACATTGAGAGATTTTACTGAGATGTGTTGATTATTTACTATCATTGCCTTCATTCTTCCATGGTGAGTCCTTTGTTTTTCTTTTTCCTTCATTTTTTGTTGTTTCTTCATTGACCTTACTTGGTGTTTTCATTTTATCTGGGTTTTTAGCTGTGTCAGTTTTACTCTCTCCAACATGGGCATTCTTGAGTATTTTCAGGAGTGTTGACTTAGCTTTCATTTATCTTTTGAGCTATTCTTTTTCATGGAAAGACATTATGTTTCTATCTACTGTGGAATTAGCTTAATCAAGGAAGTGAAAGACTCCTACCAAAAAAACTACAGTTCTCTAAAAAAGGGAATCGAAGAGCATATCAGAAAATGGAAAGATGTTCCTTGCTCCTGGATAGGCAGAACCAATGTTGTCAAAACGGCCATACTCCCAAAACTGTTACACAGTTTTCTATGCAGACCCACTCAAAATACCAACAGCATATTCTGCAGAACTACTGAAAACAGTTCTAAAATTCATATCGAACCAGAAGAGACACAGAATAACTAAGGCAATTTCAGGCAACAGAACAAAGTAGGAGGCCTTGCAATATCTGAATTAAAGCTATTCTACAAAGCAATAATGATAAAAACAGCATGGCACTGGAACAAAACAGAACATGGATCAAAAGAACAGAAGAGAGGATGCAGTAACATCCCCAGACACATTCATGTATTTGATATTTGACAAAGGGAGCCAGAGGCATACATTGGAGAAAAGATACACTATTCAATGAGCGCTGCTGGGAAAACTGGACGTCTGCAGATTGAAACTGAACCCATTTCTCTCACCATGCACTAAGTTAAAATCAAAATGGATCAAAAATTTAAACATAAAAATAGAAATATTAAATATACTGGAATAGCCAGGCAAGATGGTGCACACCTGAATTCCAGGCCAGCCTAGACTACGTAGAGAATTCAAAGCCAGCCTCAACAACATAGTAAGACCCTGTCTCAGTCAGTCAATCAATCAATCAATCACTAGAAGAAATGAAAGATAAAATAGGTAAAACACTTGAAGACATGGGTATGAGAAAGGATTTCCTAAAGGATTAAGTTTTCTAAGTTGCACAAGAAATAACAGCAAGAATCAACAGATGGGATTAAATCAGACTATGAAGCTTCTGTACAGGAAAAGCACCAGTAAGTAGCATGAACATGGAACCTACAGAATGGGAAAATATTTGCCACCTACTCCTCAAACAGAAGACTAATACCTAGGATATATAAAGAACTCAAAGTTAAGCCACCTAACATTAAAGGAACTCTCCTACATGTTTTGTGGGAATATAAACTAGTACAACCATTGTGAAAATCAACATGGAGATTTCCCAAAGAACTAAAATTATAAAGTCCGCATGACCCAGCTATCACCCTTCTCAGTATCTTCCCCCAAAGAGCCTCAGACATCATACTCTGGTGATGTATGCATACTGACGTTTATAAAATAATAATTTAATAACCACTATCTTCATTTTTCACTCACAAATTTCATCCAGATTTTTACTGCTAGGTGGTTTTTACCAGAGAAAAGCACAGTTGTTGCCGCAAGCAGAGCGTATTTGGTGTCATTGACATTAAGTCCACTCATTCTTCTGTAGAAATAAAACAATGAGCTAATAAATTCTTCAGTGATACCTAAAAAGGTCAGTAAAAAAAGTATTTTCATTAGAACCTAGAGAATCAAACGTGCTGTGATTATCATTTTTTCTCAGAACAATGCAGTGTAAGAAAATTAAACATTATATCTGCCCAAATGATATTTTGTATTGTGCGTTACCAGTCAGAGAAGGGCAGTGTTCACTGCTAAATTGTTCCATAGAATAAATGATACTTCTGTCACAGCTCTGGTGAGGACCATTCCGTGTGCCAGCTGAATTATTCAGCATTGTCACAGTACCTGCTAAAAAGGAAAAAATATAGTCTGATTTTTTTCTAACCCTTAAATAAATAGTATATTCAGTGTCTTTCAGAATCCAGAATAGTTGTTACATGGAAAGCCTTCCCGATAAATAGTAACTTTATAATTTTTGTCATTGAAACATTAAGCTAGATTAATATCATAGAGAGAGCGTATGGTAGAACCTCCATAAATGTATTTTCTACAGTGCTGTATAGTAAAATTGGCTCTCTATAAAAGGGGACAAAAAAAGCCAGACCCATGTATTGGAAAATTCTAAGTGGCTATTATGATATATTTATTCCTCTATCACCTGACAAAACAAAAATATAATTAAAAATAGCTCAACTTTATATAAGTTGTTACTAAATTTAACATAATGACATTAAAGTTTTTAAAAAAGCATTATCGCTAGAAATGCACACCTATGGTCCCAACACTCAGGAAGTTGAGGCAGGAGGATCACTTAAGCCCAAAAGGTCAAGGACAATTTAGTTGAGACGCTGTAGGAAAAGGGGGAGAAATGGGTGGAGGGGAGGATGGAAGGAAGGGAAGGAGGGAGAAGGAAATAAAGCTTCCTTACTTTCAGAGGCTGTGACTTTCTGACTGTAGGATTGGGCCACATGAAGAAACATTACTTCAATTTTCGATCCTTTCTGCAATGCAGTGTGATACTCAATGGTCAAATTTTTAAATCCTTTAAGAAAATATAAGGAAGAAATAAATAATGAAAAGATAATTTTCAGATACCATATTCAACATTTTATTTATTTACTTATGAATCATAAATTCTTCCTCAGAAAAATCATGATATAGAGCTGGTGATATAGCTGAGTCATGCTTGCCTAGCATGTGAGAGGCTCTAAATTTGAGTTCCAGCACTTAAAAAAAAAAAAAAAAAAAAAAAAAAAAACAACATTCCATCTCCATCAACTGCAAAATAAAAACCAAAAGAATAAAGCCAGGTGTGGTGGTGCACGCCTATAATTCCAGCACTCGGGAGGCTGAGGCAGGAGCATCTCTGTGAGTTCGAGACCAGTCTTTGCTACATAGTGAGTTCCAGGTCAATCTCCACTACATAGTGAGACCCTGTCTCAAAAAAAAAAAAAAACAAAAAGAACAGGGTTGGGGGTTTAGCTCAGTGGTTCTGCTGCCTGCCTTGCAAGTGCAAGGTACCAAGTTTGATCCCTGATACAAAAATAAGTAAAGAATCACAATATGCAACTACAAAGCTGAAAAAAAAATTTATTACACATAGTAATATTGGGAGCATTTTTATAAGAACCGGATAATATTTTTCCCATGGAATTTGATAATACTTTTCCTTTGGCAAGAACAAAATGAACATGTTTGATTTAGTCTTCTAATTTTTGTTTCTATGAGTTACTATACCTGTAAATAGCTAAGTTTTGGCCAACAGTGGCATGATTTTCTAGTATCATATAGGGACTTTTCTGCATTTTATGTTTTATCTGAAAAACAACCCAAGCCGGGGATTTAGCTCAGTGGTTCTGCTGCCTGCCTCACAAGCACAAGGTCCCAAGTTTGATCCCTGGTACCAAAATAAATAAATAAATAATAAAAATTAAAATTAAAAACAAGCCAAACCTCATGGGATTGTGCCTGCAAACCCAGCACTCAAGAAACTGAGAGAAGAGGATCATGAATTTGGAGCCAGCCTAGGGTACAAAGACCCTACCTATAAAAAAAAATAATAATAAATTAAAAATAAAAATTTTTAATAAATAAAGAACAAAAAGTCATTTCCAAAAACAAAATAAAACATACAGCGAGAGCATATTTGTTTTGACTTCAAGGCTCTGAAGTCATTTGAATAATATTTTTATGTACTGTATTTACATTTTTCACCCACCTAATTAGAGCAAACATGCTTTTGCAGTTAGAAGCAGCAGCACTAATAGGAAAAACAAAACAAAAAACTTGTTTTTCTACAATTTCCCCTTCTTTTCAAGCAGGACCTTTTGTCAAAGGTGTTTTAAGTATTAAGGTTTTCCAGAGGCAATGTAACTACCTGGGAGCCTCTTGGTAAAATCCCTCATCCCATGCATGTGTAGGACTGCTGTCTCTGAGAGTTGCAAAAAGCTCAGTTTAGGATTGGCATTTTCCTGCACCTAACACATTAAAAGACAACAAAATAAATGTTATTTTCACTCAAAAAACTAGTGAAATTTTATACTGTGATTTTATGCTCTTACTGTCTAACATAAACAATTCTAAATTATTTATCGCCAGTGATGAATACATACAACTTTTTTTGTTTCCTCCATGGGAATTGGATAGTTTTGGTGAGCAGCTACAATGCTACTAATAAGCTGACGTTCTTCTTGAGTTAATTCCATGCTCTCCTGAATCTGTAAAAAAATACACAGGGAAACTATAATGCATACTTATTGAACAAGTTATCATGAACAAAAGAAGAAATTGTGCACAAAAAGTCTTGCCGTTTTTCCACTGGATGACACAAGTTTGCTGTCTGTTCCTTTCTCTTCCACTTTGATGTTAGGGTAAAAACTATTCTTCTGCTTAAAATTCTTTCGAAGTCTCTTTGATTTATATTGGATTTCTGTGAGCAAACCTGTGATATTACAAAAAGCATTAAAAAATGTTTTTGGCATGGAAAATAATGTCATAGGATTTGATTAAAATTATCTCATATTGTATTTATATGTATGATCATAGACACCTTTTTACAAAGAATCCTTCTTTTGGCTCATGTACGTACAGAGCTGTGAAGTTTGTTCTTTCTCCTTTTCCTTAAAAGTACATAGTCATCCCAGACAGAAATTAAAAATTAAATCTTCCATATCCAAATTACAAGTTCAGATTTTATATGGGAATTTTACACATTAATTGTATCTTGGAACCAATATAGAATAGCATTTTCCACATTAATACAGAGAATCATCTAGTAGAACAGTTCACTACCTTATCTATACCTTAGCAGTACTGTGGATTGAACCCAGGTCCTCACATGCTAGGCAAATGCTCTACCCCTGAGCTATAACCTGGCCCTCAAAGCTTTATTCTTGACTTTCATATCATAAGGTCAGGAGAATAACTTGACTTTTTAAATGAGCTAAGTCAATTATTTTCCCTCATAAACAAGGCTACCATATATATTCGAGGACAGTGCTAGAGATCAAACCCAGACCCCACTCATGGTAGACAAGTGCTCTCTCACTGACCAACATCCCCAGACCTACTCCTTTTGTAAGGTAAATAATTTCTATTTGGGCATGTTGCTTTCATAGATTTTTAAACCTTCAAGTTCTACCTCTATCCAAACAGCAGCAGAAACCATAAATAACTGCTAAAAATAACCAAATGTTAATATTTACCTTGTGTTATATCTGTAATTTTTCATGAACTTTTAAAACATTGTATAAAATATTATATCAGAAGCACAATTGGAAAACAAAATAAAAACCTTAGCCCCCTTCTAAATGGATTCATTAGTTTGTTAGGGAGCAAGAATACATCAAAATATGAAGTCATTTAAAAGGTACCAAGTAAATATTAAAATTTTTTGAACTGCACACATAAATGCAAAAATGAAATAAAGAAAAGTAGTCATTAGAATCAGATGAGATTGATTATAGGATGACTTATTAAGAGATATATTTGTAAGAAGTGTTAGTTTAGTTGACAAAAAAAGAGTATCCTACAGAAAAAAAGGAATGCCAGAGAGGTTAAACAGATCGCGGAAGGAAGAAAAATAAACTGGTAAAATCTTACACAGAGGCAAGAGGAAACGATGGTAAAGAATTTCAACTGTACAACTCTTTCCTATATCCACAGGAACTAGGATCAAGTATCTGAATTCCATTCTATGTATATAAAACCATGTCCTGAGTACAATATTTTATAATGGATATAGCACTTTAAAACACAGAAAAGAATTCATCAAGAACAAGATACTGAAAGTATTGGCATATGGTAAGGGAATTAAGGCTCCAAAAGAAAGGAAGTAACATACAAGGCTGTTTTATAGGTTTCTATCATCAATTATGAAGCTTTAAAAAGACTAATCAAAGCCAGGTGTGGTGGCGCACACCTGTAATCCCAGCACTCGGCAGGCTGAGGCAGGAGGATTGCTGCAAGTTTGAGACCAGCCTGGGATACATAGAGACTGAGTTCCAGGTCAGTCTCAACTACATAGTGAGATCCTGTCTCAAAAAAAAAAAAAAAGACTAATCAAGTACTAAATACGTTGAGTATTCAAAAGGGTAAGAGTATTTTATGGTTGAGATCTAAAATATCCCTGAAAAATCTCCCAAATTCAAGGGCTGAACTCTTGGAAGTGGTTGTATCACAATGGTCCTAACTTCATCCATGGATTAACCCAATGATGAGATCATGACAATGGCATTACTGAGAAGTGACAAATGCAGGACCTAGTTGGAGGGAGTGGCTCATAGAGTGAGACCTTGGGATTATATCTTGTTCCTGGCTCTTCCCATTTCTCTGTGCTTTCTGAACACCATGAGCTGAGCAGCTGCCCTTCCGCTATGTTCCTGTCTCACCACGGGCCTAATGGAGCCAGCTGACCATGGACTGAAGTCCTGAAACCGTGAGCCAAAATGGACTTTCCTTCCTGAATGTCAAATACTTCCTTTACATCAGATATTTTGTCACAGTTGACAGAACACTAGCAGAGCGCATACGAAGGTCTGCGGTTGTGATAGCCGGAATCTGAATGCACATAAATAACACCTGAGTAACGCTCATGTCCTTATATCATGGTAGCTGCAATCATATCAATGCTTTTCTCAACCTTGACATAATTTCTTACAGTTTACAGGGAAGGAGGGCAGAATTTATTTATAGAGTGCCACGGAAGAATGTGAGTTCCCTTTCACATACATTTTTAGGCATCAATGAAGAGACAATCTATCAGGAATTAATGTGGCTTGAATTGTGTTCCCAAACTTCACAGAATAAAGCTGAATGTAGTGGTGTAGTGGTATTTGAAGTAAAGCCTTTGGGAAGTCATTACATTCAGATGAAGTTGTGAGGGTGGGCCCTGACGCTGGAATAATGTCCTATGTAGGATACCAGAGAGCTTACCCTCTCCTCTCTCCGGCACATGAGGCAGCATAGTGAAAATGTGACTGTCTACAGTTGGAAATTGTTTTGACAGTTCAAGGTAGATTGAACTAGAAAGAATAGAGGAATATCCAGAAAAAAAATAATGTAGTAACATAAGTGCAAAATAGTAAGAGTTTGGATAAAGCAAGATTAGACATGAAATGTTCATAGTACGCTAGAGAGAAAAATTAAATTACAAGTCACTTGAGATTTTGATCCATAAGCAATAGGCAGAATTCAGGAAATAATGCTCATGTCTCCAAGGATTAAATGACATCCTTTGAGTCAAGCAAGAAATATAGTGAATATACAAGGGACTCAAGACTAGGTGCTGTCCTGCTTGTGAAGTTGAGTTTGTTTGCTTGTTTTGGTACCAGAGATCGAACTCAGGACCTTGCCCTTGCAAGGCAGGTGGCCGCACCACTGAGCTAAATCCCCAGCCCTATGGCGCTGAGTTTTAACACTCATGTGTAATTGTTAGTAAGCTCCACATATATAGATATGGTGGATGCTTTGGGGAACTACCAATTTTAAATTATAGTTTTTTTAGATGCATTATGTAACCTTGGGTTAAGAAACACTAAACTATAAGAAATTCTAATGAGGAAGAAAATACAAGTATTTCTAAAAATAGAGCAATTTAGCACAGAGCAAGGTTTATGAAAGTAATTATCTAGATTGGTAATTAGCAATTTTAATTGATCAGTTTTTAGAAAAATAGCTTAAATGTAAACATGTAAATGTTAAAAATGGCTTGAATAATGCATAAGGGTAAGAAAAATTTTAAAAGCCCTCCAAAAAAATGGACTTATATTCTGCCAACATCCCTACTGCCTTGCACTTTTTCAGTCTGCACTCTTGACATTTCCTACGCATGTACATGTCCATTTCACAATGACCACCATTCTTGCAATTATGTACTGGATTTTTGGTGATGCTATGTCGAAAAAAACCTAATAATAACAAATTTTTTAGATTTTAATATACATACTTAAGTTACTTGCATCTGTAATAATGTATACCTTCATAGTAAAAAGCTAAGTAATCAAGTTGATATAAATTATTTCAGTAAAATGTTTATCCCTTAATGAAAAGGTTTGGTTAATATACATTTATCTGGAAATTTAATTAGTCCTTTCCTAATTGCTATGTTTTATTCCATGCTTATCCCATGTAATTATCACATCTGGAAATTACACTAAATAGCTATTTCACACTAAGAAAATAGCCTGTTTTAGTGTGGTAGGGCCTGCATGGTAGCACATGCCTGTAATCCCAGCACTTGGGAAGCTGAGTCAGGAGGATCACCATAAGTCTGCGGCCAGCCTGGGCTACATAGGGAGGCCCTGCATCAAAAAAAACTCACACTATTTTAGTATGGTTACGATTTATCACCATAAAGCGTTTTTAAAGTTGTGTTTTACAGAATATAAAGATCCTGTGAAGCATCTCTCAAGGTTCCCTTAAAAGAATATGTAGTTGGGGCTGGGGATTTAGTTCAGTGGTGCTGCCACCTGCCTCGAAAGTGCAAGGTCCTGAGTTCAATCCCCTGTACCAAAAAACAACAGCAACAAAAGAATATGTGTTCATGTGAAATAAAACTGTAAGAAAAGCGTTTTTCCCCTATTTACTCTTCCATTTCAATCCACTAAATTAGAAAATATTTCTCCAGATTTGCTCCTCTGTCCACCTCCCTTCTTTAGCACTTCCCACATGAGAGAGTTCATATGGGCTGAGACACTGAAGGAGCCATGACTGGTCGGTCAGAGGAAGGATGATTTTTCCTCTTTCACTTCCTGCACCCAGTACAGCAGTTCCTCTTTATTTGTTTGTTTGTTTGGGGTGGTGGCCGTTTGGTTTGGTTTTGGTTTTGTTTGAGACAGGGTCTGGCTGTGTGGCTCAGGCTGGCCTGGAGCTCATTATGTAGCCCAGCTGGCCTCAAACTCCTGGTGATCCTCCTGGCTCAGCCTCCTGAGTGCTGGGATTACAGGCATGGATCACCATGCCCAGAATTTTTCTTTTTCTTCTATTTTTTTTGGTACCAGGGATCGAACTCAGGCCCTTGTGCTTGCGAGGCAGGCAGTGGGACCACTGAGGCAAATCCCCAGCCCAGACCTTCTTTATTCTTGATCTATGCAGTAATCCCTTCTAGCTTTCTCTCCTTCCCTTCAGAACAGTAAAGTTTATCAGCTTGGTCAATTCTCCTCCTTAAAGGCAACAACATCTTTTTGAGTAGATACTTGAGAGCAGAAATTTCCTATTTTAGATTCAACAAAGGGAACAGAAAACTCAATTTGGGTTTTTAGAACTATGCCCCAGTGTTCAACCTAGTTTTAATAGCAAGGTCCTGCATTTCAAGAATAAACAAATATTTGCCCCGCTATTCTTTTTACAAAGTTGTTACCTCATTTGGCTGTTCTTTACCAGAGTGAGCTGTGAGATTCTGGCAGTAAAATTTCACTCTGTATCTCTAGTAAGCATGTTCATCCATCCTACAAAGGCCTAATCATTTCCAGGTCCAGTCTCAAAAGCCGTGAACGTGTGGGAGAGGTAGTACAAGGGATCAAAACCAGACCCTTATGCAGGTTAGGTTTCTAGCCTTGCTTTTGTACATTTTTTTAAAATGCAAATTGCTTCAAAAACCTCAAAACTCTTCAAGATCAGAGTCTATTTGACTCTCTACAAATTCTATCTTTAGTATTGGTCTTCACATTCGGACTTTCAATTTCTTTCCAAAAAGGAATTTCAAAAAATAGAATTTTAGAAGCCATTTAATTCAAATTCCTTCTAACTGCATGAATCATACCAACCACGTAAAAAGATGTAATCCTCGGCACTCAAGCTGGACATGCATGGTGGCACACACCTGTAACCTCAGCACTCTGGCAAGCTGAGGCGGTAGGAACAAAAATTCAAGCCCAGCTTGGGCAACTTAGCAACTTAGAGAGAAGAGGGGCCGTAGCTCAGTGCCCCAGTACAGCTAAAAAGAAGGAGGAGGAAGAAAAAGGAGAAGGAGAAAATGGAAAATTAAACCTAACTTACATTTCATTTTCATGTCTCTCACCCCACAAATGGATCCCTTTAAACATGTCATGGTCCTCCCTGGTTTTGCTTTACACCTTACTAAGAAGAGTATTCTCACATGCCTAATGTTCCATGACTGTTCAGTGGGCCCCAAGATTTCAGTTTTGTGTTAACTTGACCCTTACCTTTACAGCCTTCACAAGTAAGTGCACTATAATGATATCCTGATGCTTTATCCCCACAAACCACGCAGACGTCTTCCTGTCCTTTCATTCGCAAAAGAACAGGTTGGTGTGGACCTTTTCATCCCAGGGTGCCCATCTTCCGCATCATGAATAACCACAAAAGTGGGTTTATGTAATTCACGTGGATCAAATGCACACTGCCCGTCATCCCTGGACTGTCGATCCAAGAAGTAGGTGTCGAAATTACTCTGTAAAGACTGAGCTCGCAAAACTGGAGGAAATTGAGTCGCAGAATAATGACAATAAGGTGATTCTTGAAAATCATTGTCTCGCTGCTGCTAATTGACTTGTTCTGGCAAAATGTCTAGTTTTATTAACAAAACAAAACAGATGATGGAAAGTCAAAATTTCATAATTGCTTTCAAACTTCAAAGTGTTTCATGCTCAACAAACAGGGTTAGTTCAACATGTCCACTCTCTCCCAGGGGTTTACTGTCCAGCATACTGGACATACAGTAAAAAAATTATAATACAGGATAAATTCTACCATCCCAGAAACATGCAGGGGTTGTAGCTGGAAGAAAGGCTGATCATTATCTGAGAAAAAGAAAAAAAGAAAAACTAAAACACAAGTTTGCTAGTTATCTAATTAGAAAGTCTTATTTACTATATCTTAACACTCTCCTTTGCCTTTTGTAGCCTGATTTAAATTAATAATTACATTTTGTTGTGTTGTTTATCTGAGGATATGTTTACTTACTTTGTAATATTATTGTTTTGGTGGTGGTGGTGTTTGTGTTTTGAGACAGAGTTTTGCTTTGTAGCCCAGGGTGGCCTTGAGCTCCCAGCTATCCTCCTGTCTCAGCCTCCCAAATGCTGGGATTACAGGTATGCACCACCACACCCAGCTAGTTAAATGTGTTCTCATCATATAGTTGTTTTGTTCTTTTTTTTTTTTTTTTTCTTGAGACAGAGTCTCACTATGTAGTGAAGACTGACCTGGAACTCACTATGTAGCCCAGGCTGGTCTCAAACTCATAAAGATCCTCCTGCCTCAGCCTCCCAAGTGCTGGGATTACAGGCGTGAGCCACCATGCCTGGCTCATTCACATAGTTTAGATATCACTGTCTGTACATCAAAGCATATGATATCCGAACAAAATAAACTAATTTTTACCCTCAAAATTCTACCACCAAGATTGGTAAAAAGTATAATTTTTATTACTTCATATAACTTACAATCTTATAGCACCTACTACAACTAATGCTAGGTGTTGAATGAAGACCACATACTCTAATGTAAAAAGAAAAGCTATCAGTAAAATAATGTAGAGAAGAAGAAGAGAAGAGGACAAGAGAAGGAAAATGAAGAAGAGGGAGAGGAAGAAGGAAGGGAAGGAGGAAGAGGGGGAACGGGAGAAGAGGAAGAGGAGAGCGAAGAAGAAAACTACCTGTTCGAAACTTCGGTAGAATTCTGGCTAATGTTATATTGGCACAGAAAACAGTTAAAAATATTTTTAAATTGTAAGATTAACTTTATATTATCTCCTTGATCTTTTCGTAGAAAATTTTTATTGTCTCTTGCATTGTTTTCTCTTTCCATTTTGCAAGAATCTTACATTAAAACTAAAATTAGCTGGGTGTGGTGGCGCACGCCTGTCATCCCAACACTCGGGAGGCTGAGGCAGGAGGATCACTGTGAGTTCGAGACCGGCCTGGGCTACACAGTGAGTTCCAGGTCAGGCTCAACTACATAGTGAGACCCTGTCTCAAAAAAAACCAAAAAGAGAAATTGTAAGTATGAATAGCTATTGTGAACTGTATTAGCTAAGTTGTGTAAAACAGCTTTAGCTAACCACTAAAAACAACTTCAAATATACATGTTAATTTTTTAATTAAATAATATTTGCACCTGTACACAACGCCTCCTGCCTCTTTTTTCCTTTCTGCCCCTCCCTGGAAGCCTCCCTCCCCTCTCTATGCACAGAAGCTTCGTTTTCATTTTTCCCTTTTGTTTTCACTTTTTCTTTTCCTGTCTCTCCTTCCTTTCTCCCCCCACCCCTCCCTGTTCCCCTCCTCATTTTCTTCCCATTTCCCAATATCTATTATGCATTTTAGTTCTTAGTTCCGTATCATGTTCAGACACAAATTCCTTACGATGAGTGCTACCATTAGGTATGCCAAACACGTACCAATAAAAGTTCTGCTCTTTTAAAAAATTAAAATTAAAAAATTAAAGAGGCACCGGTAAAAACTTAAATAAAAATTTAGACTATTGTGCCTTTCTCTCATTACATTTGATTCTGGCTTCTCATAGGAAGTAAATGAAGGTCATTTGCTCATTTGTTAATTTCTTTTTAAAGAAAATCTCTGTGATTAACCATAACACCCCCCAAAACTGTTTTACTGACTATTTTATTGTATTTGCTATGAACCACAGAAATGCACGGGTTCAGCCAGACAGTGCCCATCAGCCGTAGTGACGTAAGTACACGCCATTGTCTAGACCGACTAGAGCTGCTTCCTTCACGCCAGACAATTCGTTTCAGAACAAAACCTGGAGGAAAAAAGATTTGCAGCCTGAGAAGCTGATAGTTACATTAGGATGATATTATAAAACTACAATGGAGTTTTAAAAAGCAAAAAATTTAGCAGAATTTATGAGTTTATATGTATATTTTGAGAAAACATTGCTTTTTCATGTCTCTCTACACCAAATTATTTACTATTTAATTCAAAATATTTTTCAATATCTTTTTGCTCAACGCTTCATAAATAGCGTAATAAATCTTTGTAGTAATCATTATAACTTGAAAGTAGACTAAGGTTTGAAATCTGGCCTCATACGCTGCTTTTACCATCCACTTATGTGCTGTTTATTAAACCTCCCTAAGCCTTACCTTTCTCTTTTGAAAAAAAAGAAGTAGTAAAATCCTTCAGAAGTGTTGGAAGAATTTAATTAGTGTTTTAAAACCCAGCACGGTTCTTGAAAATAATTGATTCCCAAGATTATGATTCTAGTGGTTTCCAGATCTCAGTGTTATAAATTAAGATGAATTAGGAAGAAAAATTAGACTTTTTTATGAATATGGAGGAAATAAATAATAGGAAAATAGCTTTTATAGCACTTTTAATCTTCCAGATTTTGTCACAGTACTATAGGCAACTAAATTAGAATGAAATTAATATGCAGTCAGAAAGGATCTGGGCCCTCAAGGAAGTCAGAATTGTGGCTGCAGGGGCATCTAAAGACCAGGCCTCAAGATAAAGACATAATGGCCAGGCCCACATGCTTTCCTAATGCATAAACAGTAACTTGGAATTATTCTGTAATTAGCACCTCCTGGTCCAGGAAGTCCAGATAGGCATCAGTCAGTCAAGTGGGTGACTGGAGCATTTGGACATCCCTTCCCAAAAATGCCTTTGTTCTTTTCACTTACCATTGCTGTGTGACTGGTTTCCCCTTCAGATCAATATTGGCTAAGCCAATTGTAATCCTATAGGATGATTATAGTTTGACTTGTGTTGCATCCACATTTTACTTTGCTGTATAGATTATCCCTGACAAAGGGCCTCAGTGGCTACACTCAGGATCCCTCCTGTCTCCCAGGAATTATCTCTAAATAAAACTTTCCTATTCTCAACCTTCATCATTCATTAGAATTCATTCTTTATTTTCAAGCAACACAAACTCGGCACATCTGACATCTAGTAGATTGGGAGTTATATTTTTCCTATATCAATAGCACTGTGATATGTTAAACATTAAATCATTGATTTTGGTCCTGCTTGACTAGTCACAACTCTTTATTACTTACTAAAAAAAAAGTGTTTCAGCCAGGCATGGTGGCGCACACCTGTAATCCCATCACCCAGGAGGCTGAGGCAGGAGGATTGCTCTGAGTTCGAGACCAGCCTGGGCTACATAGTGAGTTCCAGGTCAGTCTCAACTACATAGTGAGAGACTGTCTCAAAAAAAACCAAAATAAATAAATAAATAAATAAATAAATAAATAAATAAATAAATATTTCAAAAGTGTTTTACTTTTACTAATAAGACTACAAAATGTAAGATATAAGAAAAAATCATCAAAATCTAAATCATCACTTATAGGAAAACTATATTTATTATTCCTAGGAAAGAATTCCAGAAAGGATATATTGTTGAATATAGTTAATCAGGAAATCACAATTTAAGGAAATTAGAAGTTATTGAAGAAAATAAAGATCACTCTAGAGAGCATTATATTTTACAGCTTTATCCTCTCCAGTAGAAGACAAAAAATTATTTTTCCACCTTTAAGAGAACCAAATAAAGAAAAAAATTGGCTGTGTATCATACAAAAAGGTATACACACGTGACAAATCTCTAAGATAGCTTCTGAGATTACTGAAAAGCCATGTACATATGTGATAGTTTCATGGCTAAGATTTCTACATCCATGAAGATGAGTCAAATAATAGTATCTCTAAAATTTGACTGTCTTATCATCTAGCAGTACCTAGGTTTCCGTAAAAGCTCTTGAATCTCCCAGCCCTCTGCTGACATAGCAACACTACTGTAGAATATATATTGGATGTAACAGCTGAAACAAGAGAAGTTCCCCCAAATGAGTGTATTTTCAATATGAAGCTTTCCTTGAAAAGTAAAGACCAGTAACAATTGCATCAAACAGTGCACGCATCTATTTTTCCTCTACTCAAATCAAATCAATTGGTGCTCCATATGACCAGAATTCTACATAGTATTTGTTTAATTTGTCTGATACTTTTTAGAAATTCTGTTTGGTTCTTTCCAACCTTCTCTTTGAATCTTTTTTTTTTTTGGTACTGGGGATCGACTCAGGTCCTTGTGCTTGCAAGGCAGGCAGCAGAACCACTGAGCTAAATCCCTAGCCTTTTTATTTATTTTTTTATTTTTTTATTTTTTTATTTTGGTACCGGGGATCAAACTCGGGTCCTTGAGCTAAATCCCTGGCCCTCTTGGGATCTTAATTAGATCTTAGAACATTATAAATGAATTTGAAAACTTGAAGTTATTATTTACCCTCCTTGTAAAACTGCCATATTTACCATTAAATTTCACATAATACAATAATAACGATCTGAAGAAGACTGAAAATTAAAAAGCATTAAGTACTACTTCGATATAGACTTTGCTGACAGTTTAATATAGACCAAACTAGAGGCAGTATAGTAAACAAAAATGTTAATATCTTGACAAACATGCACATATCTTATAACAATGCCACTATTATCAACAACCATGTTTTAAAACCAAGTCCTTCCACTCCTGGTAAATAAATGCCTAAAATGCCGAGCATGGTGGCACATGCCTGTAATCCCGGGACTCAGGAGGCTGAGGCAGAAGGATGGCTGTGAGTTCGAGACCTGCCTGGGCTACACAGTGAGTTCCAAGTCAGTCTCAACTGCATAGTGAGACCCTGTCTCAAAAACCAAATAAATAAATAAATAAATGCCTAAAGTAATGCTTTTACAGTTCTGGTTAAATTCCATTATATATGGGACATGTACATAAATAAACCTATATTTTAAAAGATGCCTTTAAAATCAAGTGAGGTGATGAACATCTGTAATCCCAACACTCAGGAGGTTGAGAAAGGAGGATCACTGCGAGTTTGAGGCCAGCCTGGGCTATATAAAAAGTTCATTCTGAACTACATAGTGAGACTCTGCCTCAAGAAAACCATAAAGAAAAACAAGATGCCTTTAAAATATGAACTATCTTTTATATGTTTGCAATAATACTTGCACTATTTTTACATAAGTTTTTCGCTAATTAAATTTCAATCCAGACTTTGTTTAATAGAAGAATTATATGCACATAGTAATATAAACCATTTCAAAGTAATGTTCATAAATTAGTTTTAAAATATTTAAATAAATTATTAGTAACAGAGAGGTATGTAATCAAAAACTTTCCATCACATTAAAAAGCTTTGATGGGTCTAGAAAGAATTTGTTTTACTTTTCCAGTAAATATTTATTTAAAACAAAATAATTTATTAAAATAGGAGCTTTTATAAAGAGGATCAACTTGACATGAACAGAATCTGTGTTTTTTCTTTATAAATATAATTTTCATTGAAAACTGTATTTTTAACAGATGATAATGGCTATCCTAATGAAAAGATGCTTGATTCTATAAAAGAGTCTACATTTCCTCTGCCTTAAGCAAAAATTGTTTTTAGTAAACTTGTAGCTATTAAAGCTTGCACAGCAAAAACATTGATTCCTGAGAATTAAATCTACATGTTGGAGAGTTTCACATTTTTTATACTTCACTCTTGTAAAATATTTCACTTGGATTATTAATAAATGAATTCCATGAATTTATATAACTGAAAAATAGACTGTTTCACAAGGAAAACATTTTATTTTCATAGTAACCTCTTCTAAAAGAATGATATATAATTATAAAAAGTTTTTTCATTGAAGGGCTTCTTGAGCCAAAGTTCTCTAGTCAAAATTTATAGGAACCAAGGAAAATGAAAATAACATATTTCAACAACAGTACAAATTAGGGTTTCTTTGTTCCTTTAAAAGGGTACATGTTAGAATATAGAGTGTTTAATACTATGAAATCTTTACATATGCTTTATATATCAGGTAATTGAAATAAAATGAAATCCACTTATAAAATACATGCTTACAAAATATACAATTCAGAATATTCACACTGCAACTAACACCATCATCTAATTCCAGAGCATTCTAATCACCCCAAGTTGCTTATTCATTAGCAGTCACTTTTCAACCCATCTTTCCCCCAGTACGTGGCAATCACTAACCTACTTTCTTTATGTAGAGATTTGCCTCTTTCAAATATTTCATGTAAATGGATTCATATAATTCTATATATAGCGTTAAATAAAAAACCAAGTAATATTTGTCAAGTAATTTCCATAGCTTGAGAAAGAAACAGAAAGAGAAAATAGACTAATATTTAAAAAATTAATGACTGAAATTAATATTTTGCATATATCAAGGGTCAGGGATTTAGCTCAGTGGCGCCCGCACTTTCCTTGCAAGCACAAGGTCCTGAGTTCGATCTCCAGTACCAAAAAAAAAAAATGCATTTCAGAGATATAGAAATATATTTTATATCTATTTATATAGCTTCAAGTAACTTTCGTAGTTATATCACTACAGCAATTTCAGCAGAGATGTAATTCCCTGAATACACATTTATCACATTATTTTATTGATATGCTCTTGGTTTAAAAACAAAGTTCATTTAGCAAATATAACAGTAACATCATTATTAAGCAGTTTATATTATTATATTCAAATGTCCACTAAAGTCCAACTACAATGGAAAATTGCCTTAACATTCTTCAGAGGAGAGAACTTAATTACTATATAACCTAGTTCATTTAACCACATTTCTTATATTGAAAGAGCAAATTTCAAAAGGGGGAAATACCTTTTATAATGTGACTCTCATCATAACAAGCATCGATTACTTGGCTTTGCAAAAATTAATTTGTGATAGTGGCAACTCAGGATCTCAAAAATACCTTTTTTATTAATAGATTACAATGTGGTAATAGCTTAAAGCAAATTGCCAGCAAAACTGGCAATTATATTTCATTTAGAGAACATAAAATTATGAAATTTTCTCATTTTAGGGAAGACAAAATACTCACAATGAGGTGGTATTACTATAGACTGTCCTTTCCTCACAGAATGAGTACAGATAGATTTAGCAACTGCTTCAACTATGTGACGGGAGCACGCTGGACATTTCCCTATGTACCAAGAGGTGTAAAGAACACTGCATACACTCAGGCTTAAACTCCAGACACTCCGCAGAGCAACGCTTCCTCTCTATCTCAGAGAAAAACTTCCCCTACGATCCTCTCTTGGGTCAAAACAAGGGCAATTACAAGCTGACATAAATCAAAAACTAACTAGACCATCAGGGAGAGAGGCCTTTAGGACACACTCTCCCAGAGTTCTAATGTTTACTTAATAAACATCTTGCTTTCTTTATTGAATTTGCCATTACAAAACATTGGGTCTCTACAAACTGAAGTGTAACATACAGAAAGGGGGGAAAGGCTCATTAATTGAAATTCCATTAAAACAGGCACTGGGACAATTTAAGCTGCAGTTGAATCAAATTACCCTCAGACATCTTTGAACTACCTACAAAAAAAAGATGTCAATTAGAAGCATGAATAATAATTGATAAATTTATACACTGTTATATAACACAAATATCTTAGTCCACCTGTCCATTTTGGGGTTGTTTGGCTAAGAAAAATGGCAACACAAATAAATATTACTACTTGTTAAATTTATCGTAGCTAATTAATAGCAAAGATGAGACTCATGAAAATTCCAAACAGCTGAACAGGCTACATAAATAAGTTCCTTATGGCTTTTTTATTTTCCTGAGATGTCACTTAGATTAACAAAGTCTTTTGGATACTTGGCTGATGGTCGTCCCTTTAAAATATCCCCAAGGAGGCAAGGTTACAAATGGTTCTGCCACTGATTGCTAATTTTCCTTGCCAAATTTCCTTGCCTGATAATCCACCTGTTTGACTCCAGGGTTCATTCTCAATCCAGTTTCTAACTGTGCAACTACTATTCTTGCAGAATTATTCAAGGGCCCTGTGTACTACCGGGAAGGATTTATGATGAATCTGTAAGCCATGTCACATGAAACTGTGTTTAGTTTTTAATAATAGGCCTTATATGTGTGAAAATTTTAATCAATGAACCAATGAATAATGATCACAGCATGATAATTCATTTGTATAGATTCTAAACTATTCCACAAATGGGCTTCAAATTACCCCTTTAAAGAATCAATACTCTACTGTAATCCTAAATTTTAAAATAGCAAAACAAATATATGGGGTTGGGAATTTAGCTCAGTGGCACCACACCTGCCTCTCAAGTGCAAGGTTCTGAGTTCAATTCCTGGTACCAAAAACAAAACAACAAAGCAAAACAAAAAACAAAAACACATATATAGTGCTTGATACATTTTGAATGATATGTCTCACTTCTAAATATTTATCAGGAGCATTTTTTGTTGCTGTCTTTGTGTGTTTTGTCTTTGTTTTTTATAAGTGTGTGTGTGTGTGTGTGTGTGTGTGTGTATTTTTGAGACAGGACCTTGCAATGTAACCCAGGCTGGCTTTAAACTCCCTATCTTCCTGCTTCAGACTACTGACTGCTGGTACAAGGATTCTTCCGACTTTATCCCTCTTCATCAATATTTTAGTTACTCTAGAATTTATGTTTTAAAATAATCTTCAGAATAGTTTTGTCTATTGCTACCAAAAATAACTCACCAGGATTTCTATAGGATTATTTTAAACCTATTGATCAGTTTAAGGAGAATTGACATCTTTACTATATTGAATCTTCAAATCCTTTAACATGATATATCTCTTTCACTTTCTTTGAAGTGATTGTAAGATACTGCTTTTAATTTCAGTTAATTCATGTTCAGCCTCAGTATGCAGAAAATGTGATTGCATTTTTTGTGTGTTGCCTTGAATCTTGAAAACTTACTGAATTGATTTGTTTTTAGGTGGGATTTAGTTTTATTCCTGGGAATACAAACTACTGGGTCCCAGTCTCAAGGCTCCATCTCCTGCAAGGCAATATGATGGAGGAAGAAAGAAAGTGAGAAAGAAGCGGGAGGGGGGAGAGGAGAGAGAGAGAGAGAGAAAGAAAGAGAAAGGAACACAGAAGCAAGATTCAAACATGTGGCCATGGCGAGGATCTGAGATGGGCCATGCTGAACACGTGCCGTGCATGTGGCCAGGACCCAAGTAGCCAGGTCTTTGGAGTTAATTACACAGGCGTGGGTAAGAACAGGGTAGAGGGACTTATGTGGCATCAGTGACAGCAGCTGACACAGGCAAAGCTTGTAGAAAGGAGGATTGGGAATCAACCAAAGGTCAGTTATGATTAACTGAAAACAATTAAGGGATAGGCAGCTCTGGGGATGGAATGTGGATCCAGGAACCACCCAGTCCTCACTGCAGTGTTATCTCACGAGGAGCCCCGAAGCTTCACTGATCAACACTTAGATCTTAGCCACAGCCATTGGCACGGAAGCTGCACTGGCCTGCAGCACATCCGACATGCTCCTGTGTGTCACGTAGGCTTCAGTCCAGCTCTGAGTACATTACAGCCAGTTACGGGGGAAATGCCGCTCCATATTGCAGCTGCTCTGACTTAGGGATGACCATCTGCAACAATAAACAACCATGTCATCAGCAAATAGAAATAGTTTCATTTCTTCCTTTCCAATCCATCATGTGCAGTGGCGCAAGCCTGTAATCCCAGCATTTGGGAGGCTGAGGCAGGAGGGTTGTTGTGAGTTTGAAGCCAGACGGGGCTACACAGTGAATTCAAAGCCAGCCTGAACTACATAGTAAGACCCTGTCTTAAAAAAAAAAAAAAAAAAAAATCTATCTACCTTTCATTTCCTTTTCTTGATTTATTGCAATGACTAGAACTTCCAGTATCCTGTTGAATAATAGTGACTTTTTTCCCAGTCTTGGGAGAAGGCATTCAGTCTTTGCCCCTGAAGAATTTTTATAGATGATCTTTATTAAGTTGAGACCATTCTCCTATATTTCTAACTTTCTGAGTGAATTTTTTAAGTTTTGACCCTTGATTAAAACTATATGCAATGTCACTCAGCTACAAAACAGGCTATGAAATGATTATTACATTTCCCAAAGTATAAACAGAGACGTTTATTGTGGTAAATGTTAGGTAAGCCAGTTTATAGTTTCTGCCATGTTAGGGATGATGGAGAGTAAGGAATTGTGGGTGACTTCCAGGTTTCTAATGTATGGATTATATTAAACTTTACTGCCAGGCATAGTGTTGCAGACATGGAATCCTAGCACTCAGGAAGCTGAGGCAGGAGGATCACCACAAGATGGAGGGCAGCCTGCTACATAGTGAGTTCAAATCCAGTCTGAACTACATAGCAATATCTTGTCTCAAAAATAAATAAATAAATAAAGTTTACTGAGATGAATAAGATGAAAGTGAAAGGTTTTTAACCAAAAAGCAAATCAATTTTGCACATTAAGATAATGTTTGTGAAACATCTAGAATGTCAATCAGAAACTTTGATATTTGACGCTAGAATTTAGCAAAGAGGTTGGTTGTAGAGGGAATAATCAGGAAATGTTCAAGATACTGGACATTGATGGTATTTAAAATAATAAAACATATAAGAACACCTAGAAAGAAGGAAGTAGTAGGACATGGCCTTGAGGAACATCAATATTTAAATGCTACTTGGAGAATGAACTTGCAAAATAGATTGAGTGGCTTAGAAGGTAAAATAAAAAACCAAAAGAGACTTATCAAAGATACCCAAGGGAATATGTTTCATGGAAATGTTATTCCTTAGAACAGAATACCAGTGTGAAGTTAAGTAAGATGAAAGGAATTTTTCTACTACATTTTGCAATATGAAACTTGATGATTTTTTAACAGAAGAGAAGCGCTTGACTCTTTTTTCGCTGTACCAGCTAGAGGAGGGATGTGGCTTGACCGGCGGCTGGTATGCCTTTTGCTTCCCTTTGCCCGCCCCGTTGTACCCCAACGACTGGGCAGTTTGCTTCACTGTCCTCTGCCTACAAACTGTCACTTTCCACTGCAACGTGAGGGCAGCCAGGCAGCATGGCCCGGCTTCCCCACTCCCACCCCTTCCCTGGATCGTGTTCCCTGAGGGCACCCTGGGTGGCCAAGATCAGGAAGGGAGGGATCTTATGTACATATTTGACATTCACACCAAGCTAGGCAGAAGATTCTCTGGTTTCAGCCCTTATCCTCACCCAAATAAGCCTGAAAACCGCTACTCAAGCAGTACTTCCCAGTCAGGTCTTCAGATTTTAGTCCAGGAGGGCTCTGTCATGTATGCTAGTTCCACTTACAGTAAAGACTTAATGTGATGTTCCTGTAACCCTGCTTATGATTTATTTCTCAGGTAGCATAGACAGGGTGGTTGGTTTCCAAAGAAAAACAAACACTAAGAGCTGTTAACACCCAGAAGCTCCAGAAAGCAGCAGCCCCGCAAGACCAGCAGCAGAGACCAGCACCTGGTAGAACTGACCTACGGTGTCCAGCACAAGTTGGCACTAGAAAGTGGTGGCCGGCAGGAGCAGAGACTCGGCGTCCAATAGAGCTGGTTATGTCAACTGTTGGCATTCGGCTTTTCTTGTGTCATCTTCTTCTAGCCTCTACAGTAAAAGTGGACAAAGGAAAAATGAGTAGGGATTGCATGTCTTGGGCAACCAAAAATGCCTGCCACAGAAACCTGGATAATAAGAGTTTTAATGGTGCCAAGCCAGACTATACGCAATTGAAGAGTAAACGGGGAGTTGAATACTGCAACACAGTGAGTGGAAATGTTTTCTATCCATTTGCCTACAACATCAGCTATGTTGATGAACAGAGGTAGAATGGTATCTAGATGGAGTTGTGAGATTCAGGCAGCTTTTTACTTTGTTTTAATTTTTTAACATGAAACAGTAGGCTGTGTTTGTTTGTTTGTTGGTTTTTGAGACAGGGTCTCACAATGTAATCGAGGCTGACCTGGAACTTTGTTTCCATTTTTTCCTTTTTTTCACATTTTTTTTCTTTTCCCTTATTTCCTTTCCCCTCCTCTTCCCACTTCCCCTTTAGCTATTGTTGTCTTTTCTATTTTATTTTTTCTTCCTAGTACTGGGGATCAAACTCAGGACCTTGCACTTGTGAGGCAGGCGTGGTGTCACTGAGCTAAATCGCTGGCTCAGGTTTGTCATCATTTAAAAGCTAAACTAGGACTGGAGATTTAGCTCAGTTGGGCTGCACTTGCCTCACAAGTGCAAAGTCCTGAATTCAATTCCCAGAACCACAAAAAATAAATAAATATGCCAGGCGTGGTGGTGCACGCCTATAATCCCAGCACTCGGAGGCTGAGGCAGGATGGCTGTGAGTTGGAGACCAGCCTGGGCTACACAGTGCGTTCCAGGTCAGTCTCAACTACACAGTGAGACCCTGTCTCAAAAAACCAAAAAATAAGTAAATAAATAAAGCTAATCCAGCCAGGTGTGGTGACACATGCCAGTAATCCCAGCACTCAGGAGGACTGCAGCAAGTTTGAGGCCAGCCTGAGTTACATAGTGAGTTCAAGGCCAATCTGAAGAACATAGTAAGACCCTGGCTCAAAAAAAAAAAAAAAAAAAAAACAAAGTTAAACTAGGCTGTAGACCACTTCGCTAGTATGCCCTAAGCCTCTGGTTCTAACCCAGCACTGGAAGAAAAGGCAGGATCTCACCCTGCATTTATGGTTAACTGACTGTCAATGAATGTTCCAAGACCATTCACTGGAGAAAAAATAGTATCTTCAACAAATGGTGTAAGGGCAATTAAATATCCACATGAAAGAGAATTCCACACCATATTTTAAACATTAACTCAGAATGTGTGAATTACCTAAATATGTAAGAATTAAAATGATAAAACTAAAACAAAAAGGTAAATCTTCATGACCTTGGATTTGGAAATGGTTTATTACATATGACACTAGAAGTATGAGAAACAAGAAAGAAAAAGTACATGAACTGAACTTGATCAAAATTTAAAAACTTTTTGCATCAAGGAATATCACCAAGAAAATGAAAAGACGGTCTATAAAATGGGAGAAATCGAGGCATGGCAGTGCATACCTTTAACCCCAGCTCTCTGCAGGCTGAGGCAGGAAGATTCCCGCAAGTTTGAGGTCAGCCAGGGCTACATAGTGTGTTGAAGGCCAGCCTGAACTACACAGCAAGACCTTGTCTAAAAAACAAAACAAGGGCTGGGGATTTAGCTCAGTGGTGCCATGCCTGCCTCACAAGCACAAGGTCCTGAGTTTGATCCCCAGTACCAGGAAAAAAAACAAAAAAACCCAAAAACAAAACAATGGGAGAAAAAAAGCTCCTTCCACTAATTGCAGGAGTACTCTGTTTATTTTGTTGTTGTTTTCTATTTTTTATTTTAAAAATTACTGGAGACCTACAGCATTTCTCTTGAAAGAGAGTCTATGTGGAGTCTATCTGAATTCTTTTATGCAAGAGTAATCGTTTTAACAGTACTTTTTATCTGCTGACAGGAAAAGCTGAATTTTCAGCTACTTATTTATATCTGTATAATAAAAATCATATTCGTATTTAATAATGCTACTCCTGGAGACATTTTTGCCTAGTTCACTGAGAAAAAAGAATATGAGAGACAGTTTAGGATTTATTTCTTAGTTTTAGATATATTCCTTATGACATAGCACAAGCAAAATCATCAATCTGTGCACCGAAAAATGAAATCAGATTCAAAAAGCCAATTATAAAACTTTGTCTACAGGGATTTGATGAGAACATTGCAAAGTCTTAAGTCATTTAGAGGAAAATGTTTCATTACTGTATTCCTTTCTCCACAAGGTTTCATGTTTTATAAGATTAGAATATTAATTTTACAAAATAAGGAAAAATATTTGAATGCTACTCAGAACATACAGAATGAGACGCGTGCTTTCCATACATATGGTACTAGTGGCTAACGGTCAAACAAGCACTTCCTGGGAGCTGCGTTTCTAACTCACAATCACACTCTCCTTGCTAAAGGGGCTAATCTGTAGCTGTGGAGCAAGAACCAGGTCCAGTCCGATCAAGATCAAATCCACCGCCTTTTCCCCATTGCTATCGCATCAGACTCTGGCTCTCTGACCATCGCCTCTACTGCTGTGTTCCCAGTGCCCACCAGCGACCGCTTAGCCTGTTCTCAGTGTTTCCCGGATGAGCGAATAACCGAGTGAATAATGAAGAACGAGTGGCTGCCGAGGTAACCAAGTGAGCTGCGTCTAACATTCAAGAAACACTTGGTTAAGCAGCTAATGATCTAAAACTTTCTGTTTTTGAATGAAGGATTCATTTATTCTCATGTTACAGGATGAACATTAGTAATTGAAATGTTGTTTATGCATCCATTAGCACTTTATCTCACTGGGCTGCAATTGTTTTCACTCACATTGGCCCCACCAGTTAGCTATGAATACCTTACAGAGATCATTTTAATTTTATTCCCTGCTGCTTCCTACAGTGATTTACATATGAAACACCAAATTCATAAGGGTTTGTTGAGCCCAAAGTTGATATAATTCTTCTTCTCCTTCTCCTCCTCTTCCTCCTTCCCCCCCCCATTGAGCTTACTGGTACTTTTTAAGTATACAGTACGGTTACATTCATCATTGGGATCGTGTACCTTTACATGACAGGTCTTAGTTCTCATTTTTTCCCCTTACCCCTGCCCTCCCTTCACCCCCTGCAGCCTCCCCTATTTACAAAGACTTTGCTTCCACTTTTTCCTTTTCTCGTATTTTTTTATTTTCCCTTATTTCCTTTCCCCTACTTTTCCCACTTCCCCTACACCTTTAGCCCTTTTCTTCTTATTTCACATTGTAATTTATACAAATTAGATCTTATTTACACTTTTAGTTTTTCCCTCCAGAGAAACTTTGGGATTTACATGTGTGACTTATTTATTTCACTTGAGTATATCCTCAAAAAAAAAAAAAGTATATCCTCAATATGTACCCATTTTCCTATGAATGAATCTAATTTCTCATTCTTTGTGGCTGAGTAATATTCCATTTTATAGAAAAACCACAACTTCTTTATCCAGTTTCCAACTGATGGGCAAATGGGCTGTTTCCAAGTTTTAGGTATTACAAACTGTGCCGCTATAAACATAGGCGCGCATATATCACTGTGATATGATTCTTTTATTTCTTTTGGAAGGATACCCAGTACAGGGATAGCTGGGTTAAAAGGAACCTCTAGTCCTAATTCTTCGAGGTATCTCCATATTGATTTCCACAGTGGTTGCATCAGTCTGGACTCTGACCAACAATGGAGAAGGGTTACTTTCTCCCCACAACCCTGCCAACATTTCTTGATTGGTTGATATCTTGATAGCAGCCTTTTCTTCTGGGGTGAGGTGAAATCTCAGTGTTGTTTTTATCTGCATCCCTCGAATGACCAGTGATATTGAACATTTCTTCATGTATTTGCTACTTTTACTTGTTTATCTGAGAAATGTCTGTTCATTTCAGATGCCCATTTTTGAATTTGGTCTTTGTATTTGGAGGTTCTGATTTTCTTTGAGTTCTTTATATATTCTAGACAATAGTCCTTTGTCTGAGGAGCAGTTGATAAAAAATTTTTTCCCATATTGTAGGTTATCTCTTAGCTCTTTTGCAAAATCTTTTTTCTTTCTTTTTTTTTTTTTTTGTTTGTTTGTTTGTTGTTTTTTGAGACTGGGTCTCACTATTCGATTGAATCTGACCTGGAATTCACTATGTAACCCAGGCTGGTCTTGAACTAACAGCAATCCTCCTGCCTCAGCCTCCCAAGTATTGGGATTATAGGCGTGCACTACCATGCCCAGCCAGAAGCTTTTTAATAAGATGAGATCACAGTTGATGCTTTATGCTAGCTCCTTTGCTACTGAGGATTTGTTCATATAGCTTTTTCCTTTGCCAATGTCCCCAAGAGTTCTGCCTAACTTATCTTCCAGCAAGTTTAGTGTTTCTGTTTTAATGTTTAGATCTTTAATCCATTTGGATTTTAGTTTAGTGCATAGTGAAAGATGAGGGTCTAGGTTTAATCTTTGGCAGGTTGAAATCCAGTTTTTCCAACACCACTTATTAAAGAAACTATCTTTCCTCCACTGGGGATGGTTTGTTCTTTTGTCAAAGATGAGGTAGCTGAGTACATCTGGAGTTGTTTCTGTATCTGCCAATCTATTCCACTGATCCTTAGGTCTTTTTCTTGTCCAGTACCATGCTGTTGTTATCACAGTGGCTTTGTAGTATAGTTTCAAGTTGGGAATTGTCATACCCATGCCATAGCTCTGTTGCCTAGAATGGCTTTTGCTATTCTAGCTCTCTTCTGGTTCCAAATGAATTTTTTGGATTATTTTCTCTAGTTCTGTTAAATATACTGTTGGAATTTCAATCAGAATTGCATTGAATCTGTATAGCAGTTTTGGTATTATGGCCATTTTTACTATATTGATTCGTCCTACCCAGGAGCAGGGGAAATCTTTTCATTTTCTTGTATCCTCTTTGATCTCTTTTTTCAGAGTACTGTAGTTTTCAGTGCAGGGGTCTTTTGCTTCCTTTATTAGATTGATTCCTAGATATTTCACTTATTTGGATATTATTGTGAAAGGAATTGTTTCCCTAATTTCTCTCTCAGTCTGTTATTTGTGTACAAGAAGGCTATTGATTTCTGAGTGTTGACCTTGTGTCCAACTATTCTGCCGACAATTTCAATTAAGGCTGTAAGTCTTTTGACAGTGTTTTTTGGGTCTTCTATGTAGAGTATCATATCATCAACAAATAATGAGAGTTTAACTTCTTCCTCTCCTATCTTTATTGCATTAATTTCTTTCTCATGTCTAATTGCTGTGGCTAATGTTTCTAGAACTATATTGAACCAAAGTGGTGATAGTGGACCTCCTTGTCTTGTTCCTGATTTTAGTGTGAAGGTTTTCAGTTTTTGGCTATTTAATGTAATGTTAACTGTTGTTTTTTTTCAAAGATAGCCTTTATCAAGTTGAAATAAACACCATCCATTCCAATTTTCTGCAGGATTTTTATGATGAATGGGTGTTGAATTTTGTCGAATGCTTTTTCTACATCTATTGAGATGATCATATGGTTTTGTCTTTGACTCTGTTAATAAAGTGTATTACATTTATTGATTTATGTATGTTGAAATATCCTTGCATCTCTGGAATAAATCCAACTTGGTCAAGGTGTTTGATCTTCTTGATGGCCCTCTGTATTCTGTTTGCCAGTATCTCGTTGAGGATTTTTACATCTATGTTCATTAAGGAGATTGGCCTATAGTTTTCTCTTTTGGTTGGGTCTTTCCCTGGTTTGGGAATCAAAGAAACACTTGCTTCCAGGAATGAATTTGGAAATATTGCTTCCCTTTTAATTTCCTTGAAAAGTTTAGAGTAGTGGCAGTAGTTCTTCTCTAAATGTCTTGTAGAATTCAGCAGTAAAGCCATCAGGACCTGGGCTTTTATTAGTTGCTAAATTTTAAATTACATTTACAATTTCACTGATGGTAATTGGGGTGTTTAGAATTTTTTTATCTTCTTCATTCAACTTTGGTAATTCAAAAGTATCAAGAAATCTGTCCATTTCATTTTATTAGAGTATAGGTTCTTAAAGTAGGTATTGATGATCCTCTGTATTTCTGCTGGAAATATTGTGACTTCACATTTTTGGTTCTTAATTGCATGGGACTCAGACTTTTCTTTCACTTTTTTGACAAAGTTGGCTAAGGGTTTATTGATTTCATTTATTCTTTTGAAAAACCAACTCTATGATTCATTGATATTTTGTATCATTCTCTTAGTTTCCATTGCATTGATTTCTGCTCTGATCTTTGTAATTTCCTGCCTTGTTTGAGCTTTGGATTTTTCTTGCTCTTCTTTTTCTAGGAGCCTAAGATTCATCATTAGGTTGTTTATTTGTTTTCCAAGTGTGGGCATCCACTGCTATAAATTTCCCTCATAAAACTGCTTTCACTGTGTCCCATAGATTCCTGTATGTTGTATTGGCATTATCATTATTTGAAAAAACTTACTAATTTTGTCTTTAATTTTCTCTGTGACCTGGTGATTGTTCAGGAAAGTATTGTTCAATTTCCATGTGTTTGTGACATTCTTACAGTTTTTTTATGCTATTGCTCTCCAGCTTAATTGCACAATGATCTGATAATATACATGGGATAACTTCAATTCCCTTGCATTTATTTCAGGATGTTCTATGACTTACTAAATGGTCTATTTTGGAGAATGACCCATGTCCTGTCAAATAGAATGTATATTCTGATGCTGTGGGGTGGAACACTCTGTATATATCTATTAAGTGCATTTGTTCAAAAGCTTGGTTCAGTTCTGGTATTTTGTTGTTGATTTTTTGTGTAGATCATCTGTCTATTTGTGACAGTGGGGTATTTAGTTTCCCCACTACAATTGCATTAGTGCTTATTTAGTTTTTCATGTCCCTTAATATTTGTTTTATATAGTTGGGGACATTAATATTGGGTGTACATATATTTATGATTGTCATCTCTACCTCCTGGACTGTTCCTTTTACAAGAATGTAGTGGCCTTCTTTGTCTCAATCAGTTTTGGTTTGAAATTTACTTTGTCTGCAAATAAGATAGCTACCCCTGCTTTTTTCTGGGCTCCTATCATATGGAGAACTGTTTTCAATCCTTTCACTTTCACTCTATAAGTTTCTTTTTGCAGTAGGTGTGTTTTTTGTATCCAGCATATTGTTGGATTTTGCTTCTTAATCCATTCTGCCAGTCTATTTCTTTTGATTGGTGAAATGAGGCCATTGACATTGATGGTTATAACTGATATGTATTGACTTATTGTCATGTTATTGTCCTGTTCTTGGCTCTTTTTAATTTTTCCCCTTCTCTCTTTAGTTTCTTGCCTTGTCTAATTGATTTGTTGTTGGGCCTCATGGTGTTGTGACCTTCATTTTCTTTTTTTAGGGTATTGTTTAGAAGTGTTTGGAGAGCTGGTTTGGTATTCATGAAGTTTCTCAGGTGTCCTTTGTCATGGAAGTATATTGTTTCCCCATCAATTTTGAAAGACAGTTTTGCAGGATACATTAGTCTAGGTTGGAGGTTGTTTTCTCACAGGGCTTGAAATATCTCATTCCAGGCTCTCCTTGACCTGAGGGTTTGTGTTGAA